GAGCGAGAGGGCTAGATGGCAAACTTATATGGGCATCTTGAACAACCAACGGTTCCCCTGAGAGTTCGCAGGACCTCGAGCGCAGGCGCGTTCGAAAACTGACGGTGCAAACCAACTTGTGCTTACGTGTGCTCGGGGTGCTTCCCTATATAAGAAGTGCGTACAACAAGCCCTAAACCGATTTCGGAAGATTTCGGCATGGGCGCGCGTCGACACGCGCGCGCACCTCGCCCAGTTCGTTGGACCAAAAACAGATGCTCGCGACAGCGCGCGCGCGAGCGCGCTCAGACAATTTCGACGCGAGCGCGCAGGAGGCCCGTGCGGTAGCCTTTGATGAGCATGCCGCGGCAATTACTTGTGTCTCAAAAATCCCCCATGCAAAAAGCGATCGCGCAGGGTTTTGTTCCGCGTGGGACTTCTCCTTGCGACTCTATGCGTTATGATTTGCTTCCGGGGCGCTCGGGTTTGGGGGCCCTGCAAAACCTGAGGTGCCGTGACATAGTGCAGCGCGCGCGCAACGACGACGCGCGCGCGCTTCGCCCTGTTTGTTGCGAAGGGTTCTTGGAAGCCGAGGCCTGCTGATAAGGAAGTGCGCGCGCACATTTCTATTGCTGGGGATGAGGGGGCAGGGCGATGTCGGCCTGCCTGGGATGATACGAGTTCACATTCAGGATGAGCGACGCGGCAGAATCATGCGCAAATTGCAACGCGAAGAAAAGGGGCCGTTAAGTCCGGGGGGGGGGGGGGGGGGCGGGGGGGGGATCCGATGTGTCAGTGCTCCTGTAGAAAGGGAAACAATGTGGGGCGCCCTATGCATACGTCGTGCAATGTATGCGATACTGTCTACGCAAAGCAACCTACGCGGTGCAATTCACCTATGCTCGCAGCGCGTTGGCAAGTCCACTGCTCGCGCAATCGCCCATCCACCCGCCCGCAACTTGGTCTGCAAAACCCATGCGACGGCGATTGTGATGAGTGCTTAGCGTTGGCTGGTCCATCTCCGCGGCCGCGCTGGCCCGCGCATGCCCAGGCGCAAAGCGGGAGGCTAGCGCGGCGCGGCCGACGCGGCCGCGGTGGCGCGGGCCGCTGAACACTTCCCAGCGGGCACTTCAGTGCGAATCGGCGACTTGGGCGAGCGCGCTATCTTGGCGACGCCGGCGACGGTAGACGCGACGCTGAGAATCGCGATGGTGGCGACGATGGTGGCAATGACGACGGCGAGGCCAATGGCGGCGCCAACTTTGAACACGCTGGCTGGCAATGATGACGATGTCCTCACGTCGCCGAAGGAGGTTTGGAAGGAGTTCGACATGAGCGCGCGGCCGACGCGCGCGAGTGGCTCGCGTGGAACTTCTCGACACGGAGCGACCCTCCCACCCCAACCCCCAGCGCGCGCGCATGGGCGCTCGGATAACTTTGACATGCGGCGCGGGAGGCCTGTTTGGCAACCTTTGATGTCAATGCTTACGACCCCATATATTTCACGAGCGAACGCTTTGTTTGAAAACTGATGCTGCAAAACCATGTGCTTTCCATGTGTTTGGGGCGCTCGATTCACACATCCTTGCGAACCCTTGAATCCTGAACAATTTCGGAATGCGAGCGCGACGACGCGCGCGCGCTCTTCGCCCCATCTGTTGCAACGGTTTCCTGCGACAGCCCGCACGAATGGACGTTCATGATTTCGACGCGCGCGCGAGAAGCCCGTTTGCTTGCATGTTATGGACGTGTAGAAGAAACGATGAATCCCTCTGCAAGAGGCCAACCGCTGTCGTTTTTGGAACATTCGTTCTGCCAGAACTAATGTTTGGCTGTGTGTTTCGTGGCGCTCTATCTTGAAATCCTCGCGACGCCCGACGACGCGCGCGCGTACTTCGTCACGTTGATTGCCAGAGATGTCCGGGCACTGCTGCTCGGCGATATGCGAGCGCCCGCGTAAGTTCTGTTGCAGGGGGCGAGGGGCGGGGGGGGGGCGCCCGCCTAGCCGGGGATATATGGATGTATATTACGGAGGATTAAGAGACATAATCGATCGCAACGCACGCGCCCCCAGGGGGGCAGGTAGATCCCCGGGGCAATCTACGCATAATGAGGCGGCACGGGCGCGCCTGGCGCGATTTGCCGCGCCCCGGACGCGGCTCGCCCGACGCGGCTCAATCGCGCGGCAAACGCTGAGCGCGCGGCGAATCTGGCGCACCAGGCGCGCCTGGCGCGCTTGGGCCGAATGGGGCGCTAATGCGCCCGGCGCGCCCGGCACGCGCTGCGCGCCTCGCCCCGGCGTCGCGCGCCCCAGGTTTGCAGCGGTTCCCAGCGGCTGTCCGCGCAGAAGCGCCCGCTCAAACTGAAACTCGGGAACTGCTTCTGCGTTGGCAAAGCGGACAAAAGTCGGCCATTAGGGAGACGCATCTCGACCACTGCCGATCTTCGAAAACGCCCTCCCCCCGCCCGGTCGGCAGCCCAGCCCGGCCGCGCGCCCCTGCCGCCCCTGTCAAGGAAATAATGCAAAATGCAATGTGCCCCTAAATGCGGCGCATAAGCGGGCGCCCCGCGACCACTTCGCATTGGTTTTGGCTGGCGGCGGCGGAGGGGCCCCCGCGCCGCGCGCCTGCCGGCCGCCCCTGCCCCCCGACTCTCGAGCATGCGCGGGCGCCGCTCGACCGCTCTGCATGGGTCTTTGAGCTGGGCGGCGAGGGGGGCGGCGCGTTGCCTGATCCCGCCAAACAACAATGCAAAGTGCACTGCACCTCCAAAGCTGCAGCGCGGGCGGGCGCCCCTCGGCAACTTTGCGCGGCGCTGGTGGCCAGCTTGGCGGGGGCCTCCCACATTGCTTGCCGCGCGCGGGCCGACCTGGCCAACCAATGTCATGGCGCTCATGCGCATCGGGGCAATATCGCCGGTCGCGCTCGCGGGCTCCGCGAATACTTTGCAATGATTGTATGAAAGAGGCTACAAGTGGCGCCACCAGACTGTCCACGGCGCGCATGGGCACAACGCCCGTCAGAAACCATGCAAGATACACTCTGCGGCAAAATCAAAGTCATGCTCGGCCACCCCGCAATCCTTGCCCATTGGTCGCTGACAATGACGGCGGGGGCGCCGGGCCACCTCCCGCCGCGTGCAAAACCGCCGGGCGCAACGATGGCCCTCCCGCTGCGATTGCGCATTTCCTTACGACGCGGATGGCGGGGGCCGACATGATCCCCGATGCGCGCTGCCGCGTGAGCGGGCGCACCTGGCGCCATCTGCGCGCGCCCCGAAAGTCGCGCACCCGGCGCGGCCGCGTCGCGCGGCGCACGCGGCGCAGGCAGAGCGCGCGGCAAATCTCGCGCGCCAGGCGTGCCCGGCACGCTTGGGCCCCAGGGGCGCCGGGCTCTCCTGGCGCGCGCGGCGCGCCGAGCACGCGCGGCGCACTTCGCCCCGGCGCCGCGAGCAGTGGGTCTGCGTTGGTTGCCAAAAGCTCCCCACCCGCGCACGACCGCTGAACGCGCCGAGGCACGGGCGCAACATATGTTCGTTGCGGGGGGGGCAGCGGTGGGCAAGACAGCTCGCGGGCTGGGAGCGCGCCCAGGTCACTGCCCCCGGTGAGAACGCCCAATCCCCCGTTCCACCGCTGGCCAGCCGGAACACGCAGCCGCCCCCCGCCCACCATGTCCCTGTCAGAATACACTCCAGAATGCACTCTGCCTCCAAAATTCGATCATGCGCGAGGGCCCCGCGACCACTCTGCGCCGGTTTTTGACGCGCGCGACGGGGGCGCTGGCATGCTGCCCGCTGCCCGCACATTGCGCGCGAGCCGAACCTTCCCCGTCAGACATCAATCATGCACGCACTATGTCTCCAAACCAAGATCACGCGCGGGCGCCCCGCGCCCATTCGGCGGGCGCCCTGCGACCACTCCACATGGGTTCTTGATGGATATGGCGGGCGTGCCAGCATATTGCTTGACGCGCGCAGGCCGACCTTCCCTGTCGAGATAGAAGCAATCCAGAACGCACATTGCCTCCAACTCTGGAGCCCGCGCGGCCGCGTCATCCACCGCTTTCATTTGCTCTTGGCATCTGTTGCGATAGTGGCACGCGACCCTGTCGCCCCTGTCAAAGATGACAATGCTGAGTGAACTTCGCTTCCAAATCTGGAGCGCGCGCGGGCGCCCCGCGACCGCTCTGCGTCGGTCGCTGACAATGGCGAGCGCGCCGCCATTTTGCTCGATGCCCGAGGGCTGAGCCCCGTCATTTTGTCAAATGGCTGGAAGCACATGGATTCCAGCCGATAGATGTACTATGCGGCACGGATTACGAGGCCGCGTCGCCTTCCACCGCTGCGCCCTCCGCTGGCCGAAAGTGAAACGACCGAATAACGATTGCGTCATAGGTCGCGCCTTCGGCCGGTCGAACGCAACAACGGCGCCATATCGATTGCGCCATCCGCCGCCGGCAGAACAGGGAAGGGCCGCTTATTTCGGATAGCTCTGCGACGCAGTCATCGATGGTCAAGCGGTGCCGGGCGCGCGCCGCGAGGGCAAGCGCACTTTGCAAGATATTCCTCATAATTAATTGATCTGCCCATTGCCATCGACGTCGGCCTCGCGCATCAACTCGCCGACCCCCTCGCCGCTGAGCTCCCCGCCGAGGTTCGCGATCGCGCGGCGCAGCTCGGCAGCAGTGACGAACCCGTTCCCGCCCCGATCGAACAAAAGAAGTGCTTCGATGAGTTCGTCCTCCGCGTCGGTGACTTTTCTCTCTCTCTCTCTCTCTCTCTCTCTCTCCCGCGCCATGAGAGACCCAAACTTGGGAGAGTCGATCGGACCTTTGCCATCCGCGACAAACTCGTGGATCACGGTTTGCAGCTGAGCCTCGGCGGGGCTCTGGCCATGTGGGCGCACGATTGCGCCGAGCTCTTTCGTGGAGACAGTGCAAACGCCATCCTTGTCGAACATCATCGCTTTGGTGAGCGCCGCCCAGCCAGGAGGTCTGGCGTGACAGCGGCCTGGCGATAACCACTCATGAACAGTCAGACGAGCGGGCGCCAGAGCGGGTCCCAGACAAGGTCCCAGGCAAGGGCGCCGGATAAACATAATCGCGAGTGGCATCCTTGCGGCCAGTCATATGAGGAGATAGCATTGCGCCATCAGGTACTATGGAAGGATAGGGAGCTGCGTCGCCCGCACAGCCCGATCGCCCGCAGCAGCCCGCCTTCGCGGCAGGTGCGCGAGTGCGAGCACAACCGCTGCACTGTACAAGGTCTGCGCCCACAAACGTATCATGCACGTGCATACCCACCATTGCAGTGGCATCAATGAAAGTGGCCGGATTGCCCACTGCCACGCATACTTGTTGAAGAACCGAACTGCCAGGACCAAGCCCCGACGGGGAGAGATCCAGGTACCGTAGCCAGGCAGCCTGTGCCGCCTCCATATTGGCGAGGCCTTGGCAGCTACACTCCAGGGGGCCCCGGTTTCTCAAAATCAAAGGCGAGTCGCTGACGATCTCATCGATGAGGCCGACCACCCAGTGCGAACGGGCGAGCCATAGACAAAGGATGTCCGTGCGCGTCCTGCTCAGAGCTGCACCGCCGAACGGTGCCATTTCCAAGAGGTCCGATAATATGTTGACGAAGCCCTCGGCGACGTCAGCGCCTGTAGGGATGTCACGTTCCATCGTGTTGCCGAACTCTAGGTCACCAGTGCCGGGCATGACGGCGTCCTCAGCGTCACGCGAATCGCGCGCAAGTTGGCGCGTCACGATATTGGCCGCCTCTGGCGCTAGCACCGGGCCGGCAAGCCGCCTCCGGCGGAGAGCAGCGGCGAAGACATCAGTGGTGCTGCTCGGCCCACGCTGGTGCTGCTCGGCGCACGCCTCCAGGAATGGGCACATCAAATCCCAAGCCTCGTTCAGGCCATCATCCCACGCGGGCGCTGTTGCAGCTGGGCCGACAGCGTCTGGGACAGCAGCAGCCAAGCCGTCGGACGTAGGCGGAGGCGCGGCAGCCGTGGCCAACCCACGAGGCCGGCACAGCACGCGCAGGCACGGATTCGACCGTGCGGCGGAGGCGCCCGAGTCAATGGCAGTCACCCTACAGAGTTGCAGCTTGCGGGCCTCCTGACGAGAAAGCTGGCGCAGGCCACTGGAAAGGGCCCAGCCAGTCTCATGAGAAACAACATCTTGCCATTGAAGACGATCTGGGAGATCCCGAGCGTCGTCACCCAAATCAGAGTCACTACCAGAAGCGATGCGAAAGTATATGGGCCCGTTGCCATGGATGGCATGCAGGAGTGCATGAGCGCGTTCCCCGCGAACGCGGCGGTGAACCCATCGATGATGGAGCCGATGAGGGAACACACGAACAATTGATAGCGACACGCCGACTCCAACCAAAGATCCTCTTGCCCGTGGCGGGAAGAAACTGCGGGAATAAACATCAAATCGGTGAGCACCTTCTGCTGAGACCCCTCGACGATCTGGTACGCGTGCTCGGCGAGGGCGCCATCCTGATCGAACAACGAGAACGCCTCCTTGAATTCCGCCATCTGCTCTCTGCCAGCTGGTCAGCCATGGCGCAGAAGTGGCGGGATCCACTGCCGAGCGAACTCGGAGAAAGGTTCTGCGAGCCGAACCAGCTGGAGCCAAAATGCCTCCGCCTCATCTGTTCGGCTCTCGGCTAGCCGAAAATGAAGCGGCCGCCGATTCATTGCGCCAAAGGTTGCGCCCTCCGCAGGCCGAACATAATTGGCCGCCTCTCGTCTGCGCCCTGGGTTGCGGCCTCGGCCGGCCGAACATGAAAGGGCCGCTCAACGGGCGCGACCAGTCCATTGGAACTGGAGTTGGAGCTGGAAACAAGTTTGGGCAACGACCGAAAATATTAACTCATTGGGGTCGGGGCCCCAGGCGCGTGGGGCGTGTACTCGTTCACCGCAGCCCTCCACCCGTGGACGGCTGTGCAGTGGCGCACCTCGCACGCACTGCGCGCACCGAGCACGCGGCGCACCTGGCGCGGCTGGAGCACGTGGCGCACCTGGCGCTCCTGGAGCACGCGCCGCACTTGCAGCGCCTGGCATGCTCGGGCCTCCGGCGTGCACGGTGCACCTGAGCCCGTGCGCACGTGGCGTGCGTGGCGCTTTTCGGCGATGTGCTGAGACCTTTGCGCTACCTGTGGTTTGGGGAGGGCGGGTGGGAATGAGCGAGACGGTTTGCGGTCTTGGGAAGGCCCCGACCCCGCCCCTACCCCCGCCCCCTGGGTCTGGGCGGGGCGACCTGACGCGACAAAATTGGAGCGTCCGAGATGGTCCACGAGGGCCCTACGAGGGATTCAGAGAGCGCAAGATGGCCTCCAACATGGCCCAGGATAGCGGAAACACGTCCAAGATGGTTTCCAACATGCGACAGGTCTCAAGACCGCTCAAAGACGGGTCCACTCGGCGGGGCTGCTCAATACCCCCCCCGAGAGGCCAACATTAGTCGAATACCACAATGAAAATAGATGTAAAATGCCGACTCGCCTTTCTGCTTCCGATTGTCCTCTGATGCCCCAGGCTCCAAGATCGCCAAACAGGGCCCCGACAGGCCGACGAGAGCCCAACGAGGCCCCAAGAGCGCTGCAACAGCGCCCCAATAGGGTCGGCGATTTTACGGGATCCAGAGAGGGGGGGTTATTTAAGATCCCACCTTGTTCTAGCGATGTCCTCCAAGATGGTCTCACGAAGGACCTCACGGCTCCCAAGAGGGCTCCAAGAAGACCCAAAGAGGGCCTCAAAGGCACCCGCTCCAAGGCAGACTACTTGTCGGTCTCCAGAGGGGTGACGATGATAGATAGTGGAACGCCCTCTCTGTGATGGATGCTCTCCAAGATGGTCCCAAGAGCCCTCCCAAGGCTCCCAAGTTGGTCCTAAGAGACCTCCACCCTGGGACTCTTTCCTGGATGGGCGGGTGGGGATACTTTTTGGTTGGCGGCTCCTAGGCGACCGTCTAGGAGCGAAAGCGACGTCCGGGGCGGCGGAACGGTGCGAATTTGAGAACACAGCCGCCAGCGTCGGCAAGCCAGGCGGGTGGGGATACAAGAAGCACTTCACACTTCGAGGAGGACCTGGCAGTGGCGACGAGGGCCCTCCAGGCCGCGCGGCGGCACCAGCACCTCCCCGCTCCTCCGATCCCCTCCCCCCTTGCAGGAGCCTTTGCGCGGCAAAGGGGCCACGTGGAGTGCCCACCGGCTGGCACCTAAACGGCCACCCAGCGCGGAGGAGAAGGAGGAGGAGGAGGAGGAGGAGGAGGAGGAGGATAGGGAGGAGGAGGAGGATTCGGAGGAGGATGCGGAGGAGGATACGGGGGAGCATGCGTGGAGTGCCCTCCAGAGCGGACGGCGCCGGCGCCCCCACGTTCGGGGGATGGCGGCGCGCCCGCTGACACAGCGCGGCCTCGGCGCTAACCGGCCCCGCCCGACCTCGCACACCCACAAAGCCGAGGCCTCGAAGCTACCTCGGGCAGCCGGCTCCCTGCCGCGCTCGGCCTCCGGGGGCCCCCCGCGGGTCCTCCTCCTCCTCCTCCTCCTACTCCTCCTCCTCCTCCTCCTCCTCCTCCTCCTCCTCCTCCTCCTCCTCGTCCCATGGGGAAGTGGCCCAGAGCTCTGGGGCAAGGGCCCACGCAGAGAGACAGCTTGGAGCCCCGGATGTGTGGGGAGGAGGCGGTCGCGCATGCCGGCGAGGGGGGCGTCAGGGGCCCGCTCCGCCGGAGAGCCCGAGGCAGACGGACCTGGACCGGATCTGGGCCCGCGACTTGAGCAGGTGCTGGTGCTGGAGCGTGAACGTCCTGTGCAGCTCGTCCAAGCAGCCCCGCTGCCGCTTCTGCGCCTTGCGGGAGGAGGAGCAACTGCGCAATGGTACACTTTCGGAGCTCCGCGCGCCAGGGGTGGGGCTCCAGCGCTGATCCAAGAAATCCGCGCAGGGCTACAGCGCACTGGGCTAAGCATGCACGCTTGCATGGGAGAGCAAATGTTGTGCTCTCGAGTAGAGTAGTGAGAGAGAGAGAGAGAGAGAGAGACAAAAAAACGAGGTGTTGTTTATGCCGTGCTTTCTTCCTCTGCGCCTTCTTCATCACGCCCATGCGCATCTCGGCGGTGCGGTGCGGCAAACACTTGGCCGCGACCTGCATCTCCTGGGGAGCAAGAAGGTACCGATACCGCTACGACAGGCTCGTGTCGTGACGACTTCGGCGTTGGCTCCTGACACCACACCGACCGTTGAACTTTGAGCGATCGGTAAGTTCTCGATGGCTGGATCGATCCAGATTGGCCGATTCTGAACCACTGACGGCGCTCAACCTTGAACGCCCCTCTCCCACGGTGTGTTCTGACCATGATCTTAAAATGCGAGTCCAGCCGTGGCGAGGGGGGGCTCCCGGGGGGGCCGAAGCAGGCGAAAACGAGGCCAGGGCAGCCTGAGCTTGGACGCTGTGAAAGAACTGAGCATCCTGGAAAACAGCGAGCCCTGTACCCATCACGTCTCGATCCAGCTCGAGACATGCGGCAGAGGATGGGCACAGGGCTCGCTGTTTTCCAGGATTAGGGGGCCACATGCGAACCCTACCCTTGCCCCCCACGATTTCTGAGGGGGAGGGTGGGGTTCACCTCGTTCGGGAGCTCCCGAGCGGAGTAAACCCCACCCTCCCCCTCAGAAATCGTGGGGGGTAGGGGTAGGGTTCGCAAGTGGCCCCCTAATCCTGGAAAACAGCGAGCCCTGTACCCATCCTCTGCCGCATGTCTCGAGCTGGATCGAGACGTGATGGCCCAGGGCTCCGAAAACGCCGGGGGGGAAATGTGACGACCGAATCTCGGCCCAAGGTAGTGGTATTGGTACGTTTTCCTCTTCGGGATCTCCTCTGACATCAGCCGCGCTCCCTCCGTCGCGAGGGGGATAAGCAGCTGCACCAGCAGCGCGAAGACCTGCGGGGGGGGGCGACAAGGGGGAGTGGCTCAAGGGAGTGGGGGGAACATCGAGCTGAAATCGGCGATACATCGCAGATAGGTGCGCGATGGGCGATAGGTCCCCCGATAGCACATCCGCACGCTGCTGCGGGGCGCACGCACTGGTCCCCTCGGCGATGAATGGGCCTTCGGGGGTCGATGCAATCCCCTCTGAACCTATCCCATCTAGATAGCCCCTGGTTTGTGGGTCATGACCCGGGTCTCTGGCTGCCGTTTGGGACGATACAGGCACCCGTGGAACGCCCCCCGGCACGGCGCAGCTGCTGAAGGCAACCCGAGGCTCGAAAGCCAGCATGAACCAGCGAAAGCCTCCGAAAACCTCGAGCCACCCAACGTTGCTCACGAAGACCTCCGGTCGCTGGGCCACGAACCTCTCGAAACCCACGAAGCTGGCGCTCGCTGCATCCGCCCGCCCTGGCACGGGAGCCCTGGCGGCGACGCCGCCCGTGGGGGCAGTCCTGGGGAAGCGAGGAGAGATACCCAAAGGGCCCATGCTACGGCTGGAGTTGCAAGTGTGGCGTTCGGCATCGATCTCCGAAAAGCAAGCTGTCCACGTGAGATGTGAGGTGATCCCCCCGCGAGGGCCTCACTGGTGCACGCGATCCCCCTGCCAGGGCACGCCATCCCCAAGGTCAGGGATGGCGTGTGATAAGCGGGCCTGCGGCGCCACGTCGAACGCTATCTGTGCGTCGCCAACCGTAGTGCCTAGGGTAGCCTTGTACATCTGGGCGCTGCACTTTTCACAGCCATCCTAGGGTGTTGGGTCCGCGTTTTGAAGAGACAGCGCCCCGCGTTGATCTTCCCGCCTCTCTCTCCCCGCCCTCCTCTCACCCATGCCTCTCACAACCATGTCGGCACACCCCTCACGCGTCTCGTCGCCGAATAGGGAGCGCCCAGAGACGACTTTCGCATGCGGGCATCGCGCCCGTTTCGGTACACCCCTCACGGACTTCGTGGCCCCACAGGGAGCTCCACCTAAGACCCCAATGGCGACGTTCGCATGTGGGCGTCACGCCCGTTTCGGCACACCCCTCACGCGCTTCGTGGCCCCATAATAAAACCCCAAAGGCGATGTTCGTCACGCCCGTTTCGGTACACCCCTCACACGTCTCGTGGCCCCACAGGGAACTCCACGTACTGCCCAGTGGCAACGTTCGCATATGGGCGTCACCTCTGTTTTCGGCTGACCAATCACGCGCTTCATGGCCCAAGAGGGAACTCCTCAGAAGGCTCCCATGGCGACGTTCGCATGTGGGCGTCACGCCCGTTTCAGCTCACACACACACACGCACACACACCTTGCGCGCTTCGTGGTCCCATATGGAGCCCCTAGTGGCGCAGTTCGCATGCGCCGCACCCCCCCTTCGGCACGCCCCTCGAGCTCTGGGCGGCCCCCATAGGGAGCTCCGCCGAAGGCCCCAATGGCACCGTCCGCATGCGGCCCCCACCCCCCACCCCATGTCGGCATACCCCTCGCGCGCTGCGCGGTCCCACGGGGAACTCCACCGAAGACAGCACCCACAGCCGCGGTACTGACAACTGCTTCGCCAGGACAATGTCCACACCCGGCGGCTTCGCCCAGTCTCGGGCCCAGGACCATCACGTATCGGTCTGGCTCGAAAATGCGAAAGAAACATGGGCTCTGGTGCTCCAGTCGTGCTTTTTCACCATGTCGCATCTTTTGTCCCACGTCGGTCCACTCGGGTCTCAGGGGTACCCTCACAGAAGTCAAAGCAGTTCCAACGACACGCCGCCGTGGTGAGCCCATCGGCGTGTTACTGCGACAGAAGCACCAGGCCTCCGATGCAAAACGAAAGAGCAGCGCGATGATGGGCTCCCAAGGCGGCGTCTCGTTGACACGCATTCCCCTCCAGAGCACCGCTTAATACTCAACGGACCTCTCCTGAAGCGGTTTCTGGCCAGGACTTCGGGGCAAATCTGGCCGTGGCGGCGAGGGCCCTCCAGGATGGGCAGCGGTATAGGAGGACCCTCATCGGTTCCCCGACCCTCCACCCCTGGCAGAAGCTTTTGCGCGGCAGAAGGGGCCAAGCAGAGCGCCCACAGGCTGGCACCCGCGCGCTTTTCAGTCACCCAACCTCGCGCATCGCGCCCCCGCAGTGCCTGACGCGCCGATGTCGTCGAGCCATCGCGGCGCCGCTCTGCAGCAGAACGGCGCCCCTCCAACACAGGCCGCGACGCGCGACGCGCGATGACCTTCGCGCGCCTGATGGGGGCCCTGGGCGTTCGGACCCGGAGCCCGAACGATGGGGACATCCGAACCCCACCGGCGCCCCCCATCGATTCTGCCGAACCGATGCTGGCCATCGCTCGGACGTCCATTCCCTGTGCTTTTTGCTCGGTTTCGTGCGTGGTTTTTTCGCCAAATGATGAAGGATGCTCCTCGATGGTCCTCGCCGAGAAACAAGAAGCACACGTCCGAGCGATGCCAGGGGATGGGAGGCAGCGGCCCGGGGGATCGGCTCTCGCAGCGTGCCCGACGAACGCCGAGCTCTGCCCCCGCCGCCCCTCGAGCTGCCCGAGTCGTGGCTCGGCGAGGGCAGGGCTCGGATCCTGCCGCCGAGCGACCCCGGAGGTGGCGGCGAGGGAAGGGCAGCGGTGCTCGGCAGCAGTGCTCGGCAGCCACTCCTCCTCGGAGGTCCTGGGCCGCCCAGAGGCGCCCACGCTGCGCGGCCGCGCGCCGGCCATCCTCAAAAGAAGCAGGCGAGGAAAGAACGGAACATGACGGAGATGCAGAAGAGAAATGATGCCAAAACTAAGCACGACGACACTGTGTACACATACACGTTCGGAGCTCCGAAGGGAATTCTTGGATCTGCGCTGGAGCCCACTCCCTGAAGCGCGGAGCGCGCCAAAGCCGATCCGAGAAATCCGCGCGGGCATCCGACATATTAGAATCAAGACCTCTAGTAAGGAGGCAAGGTGAGGCTGCAAGACCCTTGGAAGTCTCATTTCCCGCTTGGAGCTTCTTGAACGTCGACACTGGCTCAGGATGGGCCGAAAAAGCAGGGGTACGTTCAAGGTCAAGGGTAGCCTTGATGAAGCAGCGCATCCTTACCGTGGAGCCCGACTGTGCTTAGTGGGCCCTGGAAACGACAGGGCCGTTTTTTCACCGGTTCCGTTTTGCCGTTTTTTTGCCGGTTCCGACGCCGTTGTTTTACCGGTTCCGTCGCCGTTTTTTTACCGGTTCCGGCTCCGGTTCCAATCCTGGAGCCGTTTTCTTGCCGTTTCCGGTCGCCGTTTTTTTGCCGTTTCCATTTTCAAGGGACATTCTTTTTGGAAACGGTGAAAAAACGGCCCTGCCGTTCCCGGGGCCCACAAAGCGACTCTGTGCTTGCAAAGATTTGTCCTCCCCGAATCCTGCCGCTCGCGTGGCCCTCCTGTCGGAAGGCTGCCAGCCGAGACCACGGCGGCCCTCCCGCCTGGCCCACCTCCGCTCTCGGCATGGGTCCTCGGGCCCCTCCCGGGGCCCCTCTCGACCCGACTGTCGAGGCGGATCCGGCCGTGGCGACGAGACGCGCCCGAAGGCCCCCCCCCCAAAAAGGCAAGCGATGCCAGCCCCGAGATCAGACACGACGAGAAGAATGCGGCATCGCGAGAAGCACCGCGACCAAAACCCTAGGGAGCACTTCTGCCGCCCCTCTGTCGACCCTGATCTGAAGGGGCCCTGGGGCACACAAATAAATAGACACGAAGAAAAGGATTCCCCATGTTTTCCAATATCTTCTGGGTTTTTGTCTTCCCCCCCCACTTCCCATATTTCCCTACTTAGGCTCTGCCTAGAAGGGTTCTTACTTTATTAGCTTAAAGGGGCCGGGCAGTATTCCCCGCCCCGGGCGGTTCCCCCAGGATCCGCCCCGCGGTTCCCCTAGTGACGTTCCCTTAGCTTCGCGTTGCTTATCTCGTCTTAGCTTAGCTTAGTTCATCTTAGCTTAGCTTAGCTTCATCTTAGCTCAGTGTTATCTTAGCTTAGCTTACCTTCATCTTAGCTTCGCCGAGCTTTAGCATAGCAGAGCACACCATAGCATAGCATAGCGTGACACAGCACAGCACAGCGCAGCATAGCATAGCATAGCGCAGCACATCATAGCATAGCAGCATAGCATTGCATAGCATAGCATAGCATATCATAGCATATCACAGCATAGCGCAGCAACGCACAGCACAGCATAGCACAGCGCAGCATAGCATAGCATAGCGCAGCATAGCATAGCATAGCATGACATAGCATATACTGACATAGCATATCATAGCATAGCATGGCGCAGCTTAGCATAGCATAGCATGTCATAGCACAGAGCAGCATGACATAGTACATCATATCATATCATATCATAGCATAACGCAGCATAGCATAGCATAGCAAAGCATGGCATAGCGCAGCATAACATGGCATGGCATGGCATTGCATAGCATAGCAACTAATGCTGCTTTCCTAGGGGTTCCAACTTCTAGGTAGGGTCGCACTGGGGTAATTTCCTATATTTTCTTGGGAATCGACGATTCATTGTGTCTGTGTTTTTCCCTCCCTAATGATGGACCTGTGATGGCCCCAGGGCCCGAGACATGCGAAAACGCCAGGAGCAATGAAACTGCGACGCCCAGATCTCAGGGAGGGAACACGAGACCAAAGCTGCAGCACAGCAGCAATTCGGCCCCTGACTTTCGTCCTGGGTTCGGTTTAGTGAAGTGATGCATTTCGGGGTCCTTACGTGGAAAGCAAATCACTTCACTAACCTGCGGCCCCTGGGGCCTCACTGGGCCCCGGGGCCCAAAATTAGTGACGTGATGGCTCTCGGGCCTCGGATGTGATGGCCCCGGGGCCCGAGACACGCGAAAACGCCAGGTGCGACGAAACTGCGACGCCCAGCTCTCGGGGAGGGAGCACGAGACTGTGGGAAAACACACACACACTGTGAGAAAACAACACACAACAAGCACACACACAAACACACACAGAAAAAAAACACACACAAACACACACACACACACACAAAACACACACACACACACAAAAAACACACAAAAACGCACACAACAAAAAAAAACAGTGCTGCACCACCGCAGCGCTCCGGGCCTCGGGAGGGAGGGGGGCCGCCGCGGCCTCGGCCGGCCCCTCCCTGCGCTCCTGGTCCTCGCGGAGCTCCGCCTGCGCCGCGCCGAGGCACCCGTGCAGGCACCCCGCCAGCTGCCGCGCCGCGCCGTCGAGGCGGCGGCTCCGCTCGGCGGCGAGCGCGTGCTCCTCTTGAACGAAGGATTGCAAAAAAAAAACATTTTTTTACGAAGGATTTCAAACAAACCCTTCGTTTTTTTGCAATCTTTTTTTTGCAATCCTTCGTTTTTTGCAATCCTTCGGTTTTTTTGCAATCCTTCGAGTCGAAGCTCGTTCGAAGGTTCGTTCGAAGAGTCGAAGGTTCGTTCGAAGGTTCGCTCGAAGGCTCGCTCGAAGCTCCCGCGGGCACTCTCCGAAGATTTCGTGGGTTCGAGGCCCGGAGAGCAAACAGGATGCGAGCCTCAGGAGAAGGGCGATCCAGGAGCACATGCGCAAACCACGCAGACGGGGTCGGCATGGGGACCTTATGGGGCCTCCCGGGGTCTCCAGGGGGTCCGGAGTCTCGAAGCTTTGGAGGTTCGTCCTGCGGCTCGCCTCCGGGGGACGGGGGAAGCTCGAGGGCTCGGCCGCTCCAGTCTTGAGGTCTGCAGCTTCGGGCTTCGAGATTCGAGGGTGAGGCTTTGAGATTCGAGATTCTGAGGTTTTGAGGTTGGAGGTTCGAGGATCGAGATTCGAGGTTTGAGGTTTGAGGTTCGAGGTTTGAGGTTCGAGGTTTCGGGCTTCGAGGTTCGAGGATCGAGATTCTGAGGTCTTGAGGTTGGAGGTTTCCGGGCGCGCTCGTTGGTGCTCGGCGGCTTCCCAGCCTCAGGGGCGCCTTCCAGCAGCTGCGCCTCGCCAAGGGCGTTCCGAACGCCAGAGGCTCGGGGTGTGACAAGATAACCAGCAGGGGATCAGCGGAATGGGGTTGGTGGGGGGAAACATCAACCTTGAATCGGCGATACATCGCCGCCCCGGCTAGCGAATCCGCTCGCTTTTTAAATATACCAGTCCAGAGGAGTCTGGGTAGGCGGGGTGGGCTAGAGGGCCCCTATCGCAGAGATGAGTGGGCCATCGGGGACCGATGCATCTTCGCCTGAAAGTATCACCCCTACCGTTGCCCCTGATCCTCCCCCTCGCTGCCCTCGGCGGGCCCAGCGACGCACATCGACGTCATCAGGAGCACGCCGTCCTCGACCCGCTGCTGCTCCAGGGCGAACTCCTCTGCAGATTCTCGCCGACGTGATGTTTCAATCACGGCGGTTTGCCTCGATGTCGGCCCTCGGGGACCATTGCGGGCCCTGGGATATTCTACGACGAACACATACCACAGGACCTCTCAGGCCGCGAATTGAAAAAAACAACTCCTCGGATGTCTGGGTTTGCACGAAGGGCGACAGACCCTGAGATTCTGGCGTCGCATCTTTTCACCTGGGCGAATTTGCGCCTAGCGGGCCATCGCAGATCGGTCCAGCTCGAAAAATGGCGCAGAACGATGGATGAAGTCCGGGCTAGGACTCCATGTCGTGATGTTTCACAATGCTATAGCTTTGTTCGCAGCGTAGCCTACAAGAGGTTCAGCACACGGCACACACAAGCGTAGACCTTCGGAAGTCCGCGCAAGTGCCTTGGTTATGCCCTGGAGCCCCCTCCCTGGCGCATCCGGCGACGACCCCAGCGCGCGTCGCGCCAAGAAGGGGGCGGCACCAGCAAACACAGAATGCAAACAGAATGGTGCCAACACCCCTACCCCCCAGATCTCTTTCGGGGTGCGTTCTGACCAGGATTTCGAGGCGAATCCAGTTGTGGCGACGAGGGAAGGGTAGCCGTCTCGGGATAGTCTCCTCACCTGAGGTCCAGCGCCGACCCAAGAACTCCGCGCAGACGACTGAAGGTTGAGCTCCTGCGTGTTGTGTTTTGTGTCCTCGATATCCTCAGACATCCGGCGCTCACTGTTGATCGATGCGTGGCCCCCAGAGGTCTGGACCACTGGGTCCGGTTTTTGACCGGGGTCGTTAGCTGACGGCCCTGGGGCGCGCGAAGGGCCCCTGGAGTCCGAAACGGGCCCACAAAAGGGGCCGCTGCAATTTTTGTTGCAATCTCTGGGTATTGGGGTATTTGTCGATTCGATAACCTGGGATTTCTGGCAATTTTGGGTATTGCAATTTTTTCGCAAGCGTCGGATCTCTGGGTATCTGTCGATTCGATGTCCTCGTGGTCGGCGGCCCACACCGCCGCGGACCCCGCCTCCAGCTGGGCCCCCTTGCAGGAGCACAGAAGAGCGGAGCCGCCACCACGACCAGTGCGAAGATCGGGCGACGCGTGCTTCTTTTTTGGGGGAGGGGGGCACTTCGGGCCGCTTCGGTGCCCCCGTGCTGCAGCCCTCGACCCCCCCCCCAGTGGATCGCCCACCCATTGACGGCACGTCCGAGCGAGGGGCCGCGAGAGGCGGTGCCCTGCGTGAGTGGCCCCCCTGCCCCGCACGCAGCGTCTGCGAGCGCTCTGGCCTCGGGGCGGCACCGTGGACCTCCTCGTCGAGGGCGGCCCCCATTGCTGGCTCTCCCACCCTGCCCGTGATCCGCTCTTCGGGGGCCACATGCGAACCCTACCCCTACCCCCCACGATGTCTGAGGGGGAGGGTGGGGTTCACTTCGTTCGGGAGCTCCCGAGCGGAGTGAACCCCACCCTCCCCCTCAGAACTCGTGGGGGGTAGGGGTAGGGTTCGCATGTGACCCCCTACTCGGGGCGGCACCGTGGACCGCCTCGTCGAGGGCGGCTCCTTTTGCTGGCTCTCCCACCCTGCCCGTGATCCGCTCGGACTGCCTACCAGGCCACCCCAAACCAACCCGAAGTCCCGAATTTCGGGTTGGGGGGGTATATGGGCGCCAGGTGTGTTTTTGTCGATGCTCCCGGACTCCCCCCCCCACTGGTAATGGAAGGCAAATTGAGGCCTTCGGGTTGGGTTGGGGTGGTTTGGTGGGTGGTGAGGCTCAGAGTCGGCCCCTGGGTCCCTCGAGGGGCCCATCCTGACCCGATTTCCGAGGCGGACCCAGCCGTGGCGCGTGAAAGCCCAGCAACGACGACGAACGCCATGGAGCGCCGCCGTTGCTTCGTGTCCTCCTGCGATCCACGCCGGAGGTGCCCCCCCCGGTGGTGGCGTCTGGAAGCTGCCGCCCACATGGATGGGGCCCGAGCAGATGCGGACGGAGGATCGCGCCGCATGGCACACGCATCGGCGATGCATCGGTGATGTATGGGCGACGCTGGCGATGGATCGGCGGCGTCGGCGTGGAGAAAACTGGGCTCCACATGAAGCAGCATCGCCGATGTGTCGGCGACGCAGCGCGATCTGCCGACCACATTTTCTTCGACACCATGTGGGCGGCCTGGATAGGGAGCTCCAAAAGGATGTACGCGCCCAGCCTCGTACATGAATACGCCAGCCAACTTGCGAAGCCGCTCTCATGGCACTAACGGTTGCAAAATGAATTCTCTCGAAACGTGTGCGAATTCATGTGCGAGCAGCGAGGTCGTCTGTGTTTCGCCTGTGACTGGGGTGCCGATTCTCTGAGCATGAAAAAGCTGGCACTGAGAGAAACATGTCGTGGACCCCAGGGCCTTCCCCAGGACCAACAATTCAGCCTGAGTCGTGTCTTCACGGCCAGGGGGCCATGCCGAAAACGGCAAGCAAACTCTGGATCCGCACCACTCATCGAGAAAGAAGCAACATCGGAATCATAAAAACCTTCGAAGTCGCGCAAATTTCTCATTTCGGCGCTGGGCACCCCTGGCGGCGCCTCCGGCACCGTCCATTGCACGCTCCGCGCGCCAGGACTGTCCCGCGCCGATTCGAAGTCCGCGCGAACTCCTGAAGATTATGTCTACTAAAATTCGAATGATTCGGAAAAACATAAAATAATGTGTGGGCCGTGTCCTTCAGGACGCGTTTACCTCATGGCAACCCTGAGACATCCGCCCCCAGACCTTCTCGTGGTGGGTTCTGGGCAAGCTTTCAAGGGAAATCGGGCCGTGGTGCCGAGGAGCCACGTGAAGGTTCAGCACCAACACAAGCAGAACATGCAAACAATAACAACAACAACAACAACAACAACAACAACAACAACAGCAACAGCAACAACAACCACAACCACAACCACAACCACAACCACAACAACAACAACAACAACAACAACAGCAACAACAACAACAACCAACAACAATAACAACGACAACAACAACAACAACACCAACAACAACAACAACAACAATCACTTTACCCGAACGCTCAGTGTTCTCACCAGTGCCAGGGTTTTCATGCGACGCCAGCCAATACCCCCACTTTGTGGGGGGGCAGTGCAAGCTCTACCAAATATCCACACGACTCTTCGCCACCACCCACACCCAGCTTCCCGCCCTATGACGTTCGGACACTTCACTTCGTGGCCTGCGGACGACCGTGGCTACTACACTGGCGTGGAGTACACACCCACAGAAGTTGTTAAGCCTACGTTCGTACACCCACAGAAGTTGTTAAGCCTTGTTAACCCACAGAAGTTGTTAAGCCTTCCACAGAACATCTGTTGCATATGATGCATATGGTACATGATACACATGATACACATGATACGTACTCACAAGATAGTTGATCACATCTTTAGGGCAAATTCCTGAGGGATGTGGGAATACACAAGAGAGAGAGGATATGGTTGTCGCGATGGTTCGAGGACCTACGGTGCGATTCGTGTGATTTTATGATGCGCGGTGCTAAAATTCTTAAGAACCCAATGGTTTTTGGAGATTTCGGCGTGCGCGCGCGAAGAAAAAACGAATGTGTCCCGCATGGTATTATTTGACAGGGATGATGGCCCTGGCAGGTGCGCAACCGTTGTCGCAGAAGTTCGAAAAAGTTGCTCGCAAAAGCCCGTTTGACAGAAATGTTTAAAAAGTGTTGGGTTTCCTACGAATCCGCAAGAGCGCGCGGGATGAGATTTTGACATTTTTTTGTTGAAAAACCATTGGTTTTTTGATGTTTTTATGTTAAAATCGCTCCGAACACTAAGCTTTTGGAAGGATTTCGTCTTGCGCGCGCGAATGTCCACTTTACCTTATTTTTTGCAAGGGATTCTTGAAATTTGATTATATTAGAACAAGAAATGTCATTTTATAGTGTTTTTTGCAAGGGAAAACGGATTACAACAAAACAACCGGATCTTGATGACATCGTATTACCTGAGGCTTCCTCACGAAAATGATGAAAATGTAGCTGCGGCCTAGGCGGCGCAGGGGGGCCGTGCACCAGGGGTCCCAACAATAATTATTCTTTAGAATTAATAATGTTCAACAACAACAACAAAACAACAACAACAACAACAACAACAACAACAACAACGACAACGACAACGACAACGACGACGACGACAACGACAACACCAACAACAACACCACACCCCCACCAACAACACCAACACCAACACCACCACCAACAACAACAACACTTACAACAACAAAAACAACACCAACTGCACCAACAACAACAAATCTGCGAAAAAACACGCTTGCCATTTCCCTCATGGAGTCTCTCTCTTTCCCCGTGTCTCTGAATACCCGCTTGCTTCTTGGTCCCTGACACCAACCGATGTGATTTATTCAATCCGCGACCCCAGATGTCCCGACCGCTTCCCTGGTGCCAGGTTCTCGCCCAGGATCAGTTTTTGATGGCCCCGGAGCCCCAAAACTCCCACCGAAGCCCTAAATCTAAAAATAACCTTCGGAATTGAAACATCAGATCTTCAGAAATATGGGGCGATCCTTGAAGTTTCCCATCCCTACCAATTAACGAAAGAAGACGGCGGACAAAAAACATAGGACCCGCTTCCCTCAGGAATGGTGTGCCTCACTGGAAGGAATGAAAAAGACACCGATGCCGCTACTCCCTGGACCTCTCATGGGGTACGTTCCGACCAGAATGTCGAGGCGGAGCCAGCCGTGGCCACGAGGCCCTCCCGGGAGGTAGAAAAACGCTGAAACGAAGGAAGAACAGCGGTGTCGGTGATGCGAGTACAAGAATTATGAAAAAACGGGACCAAGAACAATGATTGTCGAGCGGCCTACGATCGCTGGAGCCGCGCTTCTCGACATCACGCAAATCGCAACAGGAAACAAACACTGAAACGCCGCAGCTCCGTAGCCGCCGCAGCCGCGAAGGAAACATAATAAATCTTTCACCGCCGGGCGCGCGTTCCCTGGCCCCCAAAGGGGGGGGGGGCTTGCCCTTCAAAATTCCGTGACGACGCTACTCCCCGGGTATCCCCCCGGGTGCTTTCTGAATTGGATTTCAAGGCGAAGCCAACTGTGGCGACGAGGTCCTCCCAAGATGCCTCAAACGTGAAAACCAAGGCAGAGTCGCAATACAAGCAGCCTTCCCTCACCTAAGCGACGAACCGAAACGGGTATTAGGCGAGATAACCGATCGACCTTGCACCGCGGCTTACGTGGGCCGCCACCGCGGCACGCCGCGTGGAGCACGCGGGCGCTCCAGCGCCACCCCCCACGCGGGAAGCTTGCGCGCCAGTGTCGGTGAAGACGACCCCTCTGTCTGTGCGTCGCTCATCGGGCTCGTGGCGACCCCGCCGCCCCGGACCTTGCGGTCCGTCAGCACGTAGAAGACGAGGCGCTTCAGCAGGGAGGACCCCGCCCACGCCGCCGCCCAGGCCGGGCCCGGCGCCCCGCCGCGCAGGCGGGCCCTGGGCTCCCTGGCGGCGCCCCTGCTGGCCCGCTCGCCGCCTCGGGGAGGCGCCAGCCGAGCGGCGAAGAGAAGCGGGCCCCCCCGACATCGGATGCGCCAGACGCTCGACCCCCTGCTCGCTGCCCTGCTCGCGAGCCCTCCGAGCCACCACGTCGGTGATTCTCAGCAGCGTGCAGAGGACGGGCGCCTGGCGAGTGCTCCTCAGCGCGTGCAGCGGCAGAGCACGAGTGCAGAGGGTGTGTAGCGTGTAGCCGGTGCTCAGAGCTTCTGAAGGATGCCCGCGGCCCTGCGTGTCAACTGAAACACAAGCCCCGATTTCGAATCAATCCACCGTACTTTGGTTGATTTCCTACCTTTTAGCTGTGTCGGAACTGTCCCCAAACGATGTGAACAAGTGAGGCGGAACTTTCCTCCCCAGAAGAGCAGGGCGGGCATTTCTGCAGAGGTGTGGAGCGACGGCACAGTAGGACGGAAATCGGAATCGAAGAAGCTTGGAAAATAGGGCACGCATGTCCACCCCAGAAAGGATGCGCACTATGACCCTGGGGCAGGGTCATATGCGAGAAGATATACATGAGGTCCTTACTATGCAACCGTGTGTGGAAACTACCATTCAAATGGGATTTCTGAACCGCCGGCTGGGGATACCCCAACGCCGAGCGGAACCGCAGGGATACGATTCGACCGCTCGCCGCCTCTGGGTGCCCTCACATCCAGGAGACTCAAAATGCAAAGGCCCGTTTTTGGTCGTTGACGGCATTCGGAGGGGCAAATCTTGGGACTTGGGAGGCCGTCTTCTGGCCCCAGGACCGTCAACAAAACGACTCTGGATAAAAGCAAGTCGAAGAACTAACGCATCAAAAGAAACGGTCGGATGGACGGAAATCGGGGTCTTACGCAAGAATACATATGGGAACCGCACGTACATACGGGGCTTCACAGAAACGGCACAAAACAACGTGTAATTTATAGTGCATCTGTGTCCAGCAGGTTACCCGGGCAATACATGCTGAACAAGGCATGCATGTATGTATGTGTATATATATACATACATACATATGTATATATATATATATGTGTCTCCAATGCTTGGGCCGCCATCTGCCACTAAGTAGTGAACACCCTTAACATTCTATAGTGGACATGCTCATGGCCCCGAACATACGTAGCAACCTCTACGCCGCGGCGTATGCGCGGGCCGCCAGCGCGGCGCACCGCGTGGAAAAAAGAGCGCTTGCTTGCGCGGCCTCGCGCGGGAAGGTGACGCGCGGATGCCCTCGCAGGCGGCCGCGTCCTCCTCCGCCGCTCGGCTATCTAGATGAGCATCGCTTAACCGATCACTATCGCCGCTGGCGTGGCCTGGGCTCCACCAGCTGATTTACCGCCCCGGGATGGGGATACAGGCTGGTCCCTTCGGGTTGCAAGGGGCCCATCCCCAACCAGAAGTTGTGGCGGTGGGGCTGAGATACCATGGCCCGTTGGGAACGGGGATGGGAATGGGGATGGGGGGACGCTGAGGAGGAGGAGGAGGAGGAGGGGGAGGAGGAGGAGGAGGAGGAGGAGGAGGAGGGGGAGGAGGGGGAGGAGGAGGAGGAGGAGGAGGAAGACAACGAGACAATGGCAGGAAGAGATGGGAGGAAGGGAAACTGCAGAACACACGACACCTCTGAGGACCAGGCGGATCGCTTGCATCGGCGCTGGGTCCCCCCCATCCGGGGCGCGCAGGGCGCGCCACGGAGGCGGCGCCCGAGGCGCAGGGGGTGCCCCACGCCGATCCAAGGAATCCGCATGGACCTCCGAGGAATGATCTACAGTCGAGGCGTTGACCTAAGGAACCCTAAATTCGCCGGCCCAACGGGCCAGAAGCGTGCTAAGATCTCCGTTAACTGCTAAATAATACTTCTACTTCGCGCGCGCGGGGCGGCCCCTGGGGGTCCCCGGACGAAAAGTACCCCGGGCGATCCCCGGCAGACTCGGGTCAGAGATGGTTTTCCTCCTGGGCGCCGCCCCCGTGGCCCTCCAGAGAGCCCCAAGAAGGGCCACCAGGCCGCCAAGAGCCCTCCAAGATGGTTCAAGAGTGCTCCGAGATGCCACACGATCGTTCCAAGACGCCCAAGATGGCCCCCAGACGCCCCAAGAGGCCTCCAAGAGCACCCCCCAGAGGGCCCCAAGAGGCAAAATTCATTACTTTTCCTTAGGTTTTGGGCAGATTTTGGCGTGTCCATCTTTTGGGCTTCCCGACGCCCCAAGACGGCCCAAGAGGCCCCCAAGATCGCCCCAAGAGGGACCAAGAAGCTCCCAAGAAGGCCCAAAGATGGCCCAAGAGGGCTCCAAAACGGCCCCAGAGGCATCCAAGACGGCCCAAGAGGGGCCCAAGAGGGCCCCAAGCGATGCCCCGAAGGGGGAACACAAAACAAAACTTCGAGCCCTCGGCCTTAAGAAGCCCCCAGAAGGCCTCAAGAGGCCCCTGAGAGGCCCCCAAAGACCCCAAGAGGCCCTCAGGAGGCCCCCAAGCGACGCTGAAGAGGCCCCCCAGCGGCCCCAAGAGGCTCAGTCATGCGAAATGGGCCGGCGGAATGAGCGAAGCGATTCAATAATGAACGAGGCCCCTATTTTCCATAAGTTAAACTTCGATTTCATATCGAAAACCTAAGGGAAACCTGAGGCAAGCTGCGAAACACTTAAGGAACGCGGAGCCCCTCCCCAACGCAAAGGGTTCCTTCTTCAGGGCCCCGACTGTATGCAATTGTTCGATCTTCGTCTGTCGGAGGGAGGGGGCAAATCGAAACAGCGGAGGCGCGCCACGGCGATTCCTTTCCTCCCCGGGGACTCCTGATCGCACGGCACTGGCCGCCCCCGATGTCTCCACAGGACCTCCTCCCGAGTGGGAAGACCCGAATGGGCCACGAAGCGTCCCAAAGAGATCCCACGACTCCATGGAAACAACTACAAATGTCGATTTTCCGAGATAACCTGGGTTATCCGGGGGGCGTCGGCCGACAACCTAACCTTCTCGCTTTGGGCAGCCCCACGTGTGCCCGCGCGCACCACTGCTGCGTACACGGGTGATCTCCGGACCCTAATCAAAACAGTCTCCTGCCCGTCCCCCGGCAGGTGACGCATCAAGAATACCTCCGCCATACCGCCGGGGAGAAGGCTGCCAAAATCCCCTCACTGGCTTGGGCGTGGGGGCCACCTCACGGATCCCGGGATTCAGGGATCGTTGGCCCGCCCCGGGCCTAGACTCGCGGACGCGGGCGATGCCATGACTTTCCACTCTGGGCGTTCTCGTCTGATTTGGCCTAAAGATCCGAGGCGCCGACAACGCTTGCAGCGGCAATGTTTGGGTTATGTTCGGAGTCCGTGGGCCCTCAACGGACCGTGGGGCCGTCAAATCACGACTCGAGACGGAAAAACGGCCCTATGATTGGAACAGGTGTCCAAATCTCCAGGGGCCCACGCGTCGACAAACCTGCAACGCCGGATGTCGGGGCCCCAGCCGCGAAGAGTCACAACAGGTCTGGGCTGAGCCCCAGGGCCCTCGCACCTCGACCCCACTCGAGAAAGGCCGCAGAAAGATGGTGGCTACCGTGTGGACGCCCGAGGTGGGCAAGGACGAAACGCGTACCATGCCCAACAACAAATACTGTCCCAAACGACTTTCTCTCTCAAACGTCTTCTGTCTCAAACGAACAGCGTCCGCGGCGACGCAAACAAGCGTGTCCGGTCCAAAAGGAACAAGACATGCTGTCGGCCTGTGTTAGGACGAGAAGAACCTATTGACACAATGTGCTATTGATACGTTCCAGAGATTCCGGGATTTCTAACAGCCTTCGCGCGGGGTACACTTTGCGCCGAGTATTGTCTACTCTGGCTGGCGTCGCTGGTCGGTCACCCATTCGCAATCGAGTGGTCGCCCGTAAGGGGCTACTTGGCACTTGCTGACCCCCCTTTTTCGTTTCCGAGCGCGAGGGGGACGGCGGCGCACCGTCCCATCGCCCGCCTCCGCGCACCGCGCGCCTCGGCGGATTCCCAAAGACCTGGCAAGGCAAATCATGCGCGACTCTGGAAAATTCTCCGGGCGTAAGCTTGAAAAAAAAACACATGTTTGAGCATGTCTGGCCTACTGTTCGAAAAATGTCAGAACCGTTTTTGAAATTTCCGGGATTGATTTTGAAAAATTCCGGAATCCATTTTGAAAAATTCCGGATTTCAGAATTCTTCAGATGTCCTGCGCGGCGGGCGCATTCCACCCCCCAAAACTGTTTTTTGAAAATTTCCGGGCTCCTTTTTGAAAAATTCCGGAAACGCTTGCGCGGAAAAAAAAACGGAAACATGTGCTGACACATTCTATAATCAAGAACTAATGTCCGGGCGGTCCGACGGGCGCGGCCGGCTGATGCACGCGCCGCGCCGCGCGCGATTGGGCGCAGCGCGCGCCGCGCGTTGCGCCCGCGAACAGCACTCGAAGGCGCTACCTCGAAAACAGCGCCACGGCAGCTGCGACTCGCAGACCCCCCAGGAGCAACACAGCATGCAGTTTGGAATCTTCGAGGGCGTTCCGACGCGCGAAAAATGCACCGCGAACATCACGCGAATAACCTACGCGACGGAACGCGCTCGACCATTCGTCCCTGAAGCCCGCGCGGAAGAACAGGAAAACCTGGAAATGTGGAAAACTATCAATATCAATACTTCATGCTCCTCTGATGTGTACCCAGTCCTTCCGTACCCATTCTGATCATGCCGATGCTGGGGCTCTGGCAATGACTTCTCACGGCACCGCATGTTTTTAAAAACGTCGGATCTCGGGGAGGGGGTCCGCACCCTTCTGCCTCAGCCAGAAAAGGCGTAACACAGGCACCAGACCCATGGGCCTGGGATTAGACTGGTGAAAGGCCCCTGACATCCGCCGATGGAATTTTCGCGATCCGCGGTCCTAGAGGTCCCGACCGCTTCACACGGGACAATTTTCCGCCTCCGATGTGTCTGATGGCTCCAGGGCCCGAAAACGGCCGCCGAGGGCCAACATCGAGGA